AAAAAAAAAAAATAAAGAGAGCAAAATTATTATATATTTATGTATGAAACAAACGGGCGTATTTACATTTCTCTATTGATTTGAATGTATGTTGGAAAGCAACTGTTACCATTTCACACAAGCTAAAAATAAATTTTTTTCGCTCGTACACATCAAATATCATCATAATATTGTGATCGAAATTTTGTGTGTGTTTTTTTTTCAGCATATAACACAGTGGCAGGCAGTTTGTGTTTCGCCAACATTTCGAGCGATAAATGTGAGCTATTTATACTAAAAGAAGGTATATTCTCTGCATTTTATCGATTTCAATTTTTTATTTGTTTCATTACATTTTTCGACCAATTTCATTGCTCACCTTAATCTCAAACGGCTTGTGCAAAAATGCAATCGACACAAAAAAAAAACTGTGTGAGAATGAAAAACACCAAAACATTGTATACCTTTTGAATCATCATAAACGTTTTTAATTTGCTATGCGACGTTAACAATTCAATTTTCAAATTTATTTTCTAATAGTCTATCAACAAGTGTAAATTTCAAGAAAATCAAAAGAAGAAAAAAAAAATCCGAGCGGATACATGAAAAAAAAGCCCTTAAATCTAACGTAATAAATGTGTCATTTCATGTTTCACTTATGAGCTGCCTTTTTGATAGCGTTTCCAAAACTTTTTCACATCTTCGTGTCCATTTTTCGTCACGACCATTGTGCGTGTTCGTTCATTATGCCACATTAATACGTTGATGGATTGTGCATAGTCGCGCAGCGAGATGAAATCACTTTGTGATAGGAACTGATTGTACGCTACGCCTTCGGTGTATGTGAATCGATTACGTTCATTTTCCCACAATTTTATTTGGTCGACAATCGTTGGTGGTAGCAGCGATGCTGTTTTTATGCTTGTACTTTCATTTGACAGCATCGTTGGATGGGCATGTTGTTCTAAATACGAAATAATCTGATCTGCTGTGATACCGCCACGGAATGCTTGTCGGATGCTATCTCGCGTCAGAACTCCAACCACCAAATTCGGAAAGCGATACAATAATTCGGTGAATAGGCCGAGCAGAGCAACTTGAAGATTTGAATCTGTGTATGCATAAACTCGGTAATTTGTTTCGACAATAATGTTACATCTCTCCTGAGCGCATTCGTTTTCGGATGTGATGGCCGCCACAGCCGATTGCTTACTTGATATATTTAATGCCAACCTTGTTGGATAGAACCGGCCCGCCTTTCGTTTCCGTTGATAAACTAATCCAAATTCTCGCAAATGTTGTAAAAATACTAATAAACTTTCTGACATACCCTCTGTGCTATAGTCACGGCCCAGTGTTGAGAAGCTCAATTGAAACAACATCGATAAACATTCGGACAAATTGAGCTTTCTTTGTTCACACGTATCTAAATATTGAAGCATAAAATACCATACTTGAGATTGTGTGTCGAGCAATAAAAATTGAAAACCTTGTCGTGTAATCACTGGTACGCCATCCGTATCGTCTCGTTTCATCAGATTTGCACTCAGCAATATTCGAACCGCGTCCGCTGAAATACCTTCCAGTTCTGTATCTTTGAGTGCTCCGCTCGCACCGACCATATAGTGCAAAACACAACGCCATCGGCTCATCGCATAATTGTCCAAAAATTGAATATCACGTGCTTTTGCATCCGGATCCAATGTGTTTGACATGTTCCACGGTCGTCCGCCACCCAACAAGGCAATCTTTAAATTCTTTTTGAATGTTGGCATTAGTTCCCATGCCGGTAGTCCACCCTGAATTGCAACGGAACGCCAAATAACCAAATCGGTTAGTGTACTTGTTGCGGCTGAATGTTCTTTTGAATGCAGTTGTGAGGTCCATGATGCAATTACGGCCTGAGGCACCGGTTGCTCGACAAATAGAATTCGAATTACAAATTGACGAGCGATTTCGGGTAATTCACGATAAACAGCCAAACAAATACTGGGATGATTGTACAATGATTCGATCACAGTTGTTGGTTTACTTTTAAGATATCGCTGTAAATCGATACATTCTAAATCAACTGGCTTCACAAGCTCCATTTTTGAATCCATTTTTCGTTAATTGGATCGAATATCACAAACGAATTTCTTTTTCTCTATTCGATTTTTTTTTTTTTGGTGCTCATACAATGATTGGTATTAAAACAATGTGTAGCATTCATAGCTGATTGTCATTCATGCCGCTACCGATGTGTCAAACATTTCGTACATACGTTTTTTCACGTTTCCCTATTGGTAAAATACATAAATTGGCAATCGAAACGTCAATGTTTAACCTGATTCTTTTTCAACACGTGAAGAAAACAAAATAAATTTTCAACATTTGAATACTGTGTACACATCAAAGAAATATGAAATATGACTGACATACCATTATCAACGTGCGAGAAAAATTTCATCATAAAATGCCTGTCCAATAACAAAGTAAGTAAATATCGAATATTCAATGTGAAAAATGCATCATTTGTTGTTGTAACTTTGTTCTAGCGCTTGGATGGTCGTGCATTTACCGAGTTTCGAAACATCAACATACACTTTGGCGTTGAATGGGGATGTGCTTTGGTTTCATTGGGCGAGACCAAGGTTTTGGCTCAAGTATCATGCGAAATTACACAACCACGAGCAACACGTCCATCGGAAGGTATTTTATATGTGAATATTAATAGTGGCCAAGATAAACGAAATGCAGAGCATATTGTTTTGCTGACAAGAAATTTGGAACGTGCTTTGAAGGAGTCACGATGCGTAGATCTCGAATCGTTGTGCATTAAGGCAGAGGAAAAAGTATGGAGAATTAGAGTCGATTTGAATATTTTAAATCACGAAGGAAATTTGATAGGTATTTCTTTGAAAAATTACATTTGTTTTTTAACTTCCATTTTAACTAATTTATTCTTTTTTTTAAATAGACTGTGCTTCAGTTGCTGCTTTAGCTTCATTGGCTCATTTCAAACGTCCAGACGTAACAATAACCGGCGAAGAAATTCAAATTCATTCTCACAACGAACGCGATCCCATACCGATCGTATTACATCATCACCCGGTTTGTGTATCATACGCTATTTATGAAAATGGGTAAGATCAATTCGACCAAATCCAAAAGAAAATCACTAAAAATTCGATTTTACAGTGCCATTGCCATTGCTGATCCATCGTTGCTGGAGGAACGACGATCTGAGGCGACCGTTGTATTTGGTATAAATTCATATCGTGAATTATGCGGACTGCATTTCGGTGGCATAACATTGGCGAGTTTGGAGCTCTTAATTAAATGTGCGAATCAAGGTGCGAAACGAGCAAATGCTGTGGTCAAGCAAATCAAAGCTGCCATTGAAGCTGATGAAAAACGTCGTGCAAATGGCGAACCGGTTGGTTTTATGCATTGCTTACAATCCGATCGTTTTGATTCATACAAAGAGAGTCGACTATTATTGCGATTGCCAAAATTCCAATTGAACACCAACGAAGAAATGGAAGTTGAGCTTGAAGAAATGAAAAAAGAACAAGCCAGAATACAATCATTAGGTAAAAATTCAGCCGTTCTTATGCCAATCGATGAATCGTCAAGCGATGACGAATTTGCTGATCAGTGGATACCCAATTTGGACGGTGATGAACCGGAGGAAGAGCAAACACCCGTATCACCGCCAAAACCAACGACCGACCAAAAGAAGAAAAAGAAAAATAAGAAAAAATCCAAGCAAACAGCTTCTTCTACCGTGACGGTCGAGTCCGAAGACAGTGAAGAAGAAGAAACAATGGTTTTGGAACAAATAACATAAGTAAAAATGCCAGTGTATGTTTTTAATTCGTTAAGATAAAATTCATCCGTTATTTTCTCTTTTTTTTTCATTTTTCTTGAAATAAATTACAAATTCCGAAACGTAATTCAAGTTAAGTTCATTTTATGAGTGATTTTTGTTTTCATCGTTTTTGTTTATTGATACTACAATTTATAATGCGTTTTCATTTAATTCTAATCGATTTTATCTCTCGTTCGATTTTGCCCTAATCATTAAAAACCTAACCGTCCCAAAAATGAAACAATTTTTTTCGCACAAAATTTCATACCAACAATTTCGTATGGGATAGATTTTCTCTTAGAATTTTACGTTCTATATATGGAAATGATTGCGTTGTCGACTTTATTTGCTTTGAACTGAGATTTGAGTCTTTAATGCACGAATTATAACTGAAATCACAAACGCTCAGGAAAAAAAAGACTACACAATTAATTCGATGTAATGCTACGAGAAGATTTGAGCGTTATCAAATTGCGATTGAATAATTTTTTTTTTTAGATTTTTCTTTACTTTTTTTATGAATACAAATGAAATCGATCAAACAATATACAATATAAAATTGGGGGGAAAATGTTATAAGCAGCTAATAAACTTATAAATCAATAGAAATCAACATGAAAATAATTTGTATGTGATATTTAAGTGCCGTCATTGCCTCCAAGTCCGTTCTTCTGGTCGAGCTTATTTGAATTTGATTTCACCATATAGATAAAGTAGGTAAGAATCTCTTTTTCTTTGATCGGTATTGTTTTGAAATGCTTCATGATTGTCTGTGTTTTGAGAGAGCGTGAAAGAGAAAGTGAACGAAATTAAAGAAAGAGTTCAAATGTCAATTTGATAAAGAGTTTAAAACAAGTGTGCAATACTTACATCTGACAATTGTGCCTTATTCATGCCAGGCCGGGTGGCTACTTTATAGTGTTTTTTATAGCGACGAAGTGTGTTCACTTGCAGTTGATATAGATCAACTTCTGGTACATCGGTGTCTGTTTCGTTGCTGTCGTCTTCTGATTCCTTCCGACGCCGCTTCGAACGAGCGCATTGAATTCGTCCTTTATGATAGTCACAGATGTATATATGTTGTGCCTGTTATACAAACGAAAGCAGAAAAAGAAGACATAAAAATCTCATTAGCACACCAATTAGCAAATTCATACGTCAACTGGCCAATTGAATTCAATACACTTGCAAAACACACAAGTCACACAAAGTCAAATGACGAAAGAAAAGAGAAAAAAACGACACATTAGTTTTATATATATATACCTGTGGGTCGATGCTGAGTTTTAGGCGTCTCGAAGTCACAGTTTTCTGTACGCGTTTACTGTACGATGCATTACCGGCCGCATTTCTACACCGTTCATTCTCATCGATTAAACAACAAATTTGATCTGTGGGACCACGAGAGTCCTCTTCCCCCGTACTAAAACCGTTCATTTTTTCTTTCTTTTCGCTTATAGCGTCTTTACTTAAAATACTGACTAATTAAATTTAAAAAAATAATTCGTCTCTTTTGAATATGACACGTGTTTCGATTCAAACAACAAAAAAAAACCTTCACTGCTGGCTTATATTGTTCCAATGTTATTTCGTTCTTCATTCAATCTCTCGCGCACAACACACACTGAATATATTATCTTCAAAACATAGTCTTCTGCCAATTGTTTCAATGTTTATTGAAATCGCACGCAACAAACAACACCTCCGACAGATATATTTTCACTTTCTCTCTACCGAAAACGTATACGAAACGCTTGAAATCTCCGGGACATAATTAGCATAAATGCTATGAAATTATGTTTGCACATTTGTGAAAATTTCGTAAATCAGCCAAAAACACGAAAGAATCAATGGGATTTGATAATGTTTGGTCACCGTATTGTCCACTGATTAAGCCGATCGAAGAAAAAAAAATTCCATACAAGCAGAAATGGCCTTTATTCCCTCTATTTTTTTTCCACACTACTTTTGATGATATTTTGCTTTTGTTGGAATCCAAAACTATTTTACCGAATAATTCGGTACACAAACAATTCCAATTCAATAAATATCCAATGGAAAATATTTAATCAACAAATTTTCTTAACAAATGAACACATTTTTTGCACCAAAATTAATCAAAAAAAAATTGTGTGTGTCGGAAAGTATTTGATGCGAGAGAGCGATTTTTGTCTGTTGCTCGAATGAATGTTAAACACTACGAGTCTTTATTATTTTGTATGTTGCTCAAAGAAATCACAATATACTAACACAAAGCCCCCAGCCGATCAGCAGCACCACATATATGCATTTACAATATATATATAGCTCGAAGATGCATTGGTGTGCGAACGACCGAATTTACGCATTTAGCGTGTGTAGTTGTGAATGAGAACAAACATAATGGTGTGTTCACAGTCGTAAAGCGCCATCTAAATATCGGTTCACTTGATAACGTCAATCGAATATTTTACATTTATTTTGGTGGACATTCGATTTGTTGACCATTTCTAAATCAATTTCATCATTAAAATGTGGCATTTTTTCTAAAATAATGGCAATAAATTCACGGAAATGTGTAAAATCATTGATCTAACGCGACCACTTGTCGTTGCGTTACTTTGTCACCGCAATAAACATCGACAACGTAATTTGGTGCTCGATTTGCATTGGTCGTTGTATGTTTACGATGAAGCGGCACGAGTTATTACGTCGTTTGCTTACTATCGCCTCATACCACTGTACAAGTCATCGGTAATGCCATTGAGATACAGTCATATACATGCGCACATACACAAATACACGCCCAAACCCGTGCACATGCACGTACACATCTATCACACAGCGGAATTGTAAATCGAACGACAGGAGAATGAGAAGACTCACTAAACAATGCTTAGTATTACATTGCAATTCGTGTCGGTTAGTACGGCCAAGTGATTAGTTCCGTAAGTTCACGCAGGAACGTTTTTTTTTTGTCAAGAACATACAGAGTCAAGATACAACGTACGTCTGAAAGCGGCGACATCGACAGCTAAAGAAACAAACAACACCACCAAAAAAAGAGTACACAAGACTATATAGCATTCGTAGCAATTTCGAGTAAACGCAAACTATTGATGCGTCCAATCTAACATTTAATCGGAATTTTCGGTTTTTTTTTCTTTCCCTTTCGTCAAGCGTGTTTTGTTCACGTTTTTCATGATTGTTGTGTGCCTTGGACTGTTTTGGAATTGGTAATCGTGTGACCAACGTTAATGTGTGATAAGAATTAAAATAAAATAAAAACGAAGGAAAGAAATTGCAAACTTATTCATTTATCTTGAATCACAATAATTTTCCTTCCGGTTTCAAATTCGATGTTTGCTTGGCAGTGATTTTTATCTCCATTTATTGACGGGGCGGTGTGTAATTTTGGGTGTTTTAATATATCGAATAATTTTTATAATTAAAAGAGAGAATAGAAATACACACAGACACATACGAAAATAAAAGAAATTTTGATTATTGAAGGAGTTAGTGGTAGAAGTGCAACGTAAAAATGGCTACAAATAATGTATTTAATAAGCTCAAGAATAAGGAGCTCACCGACGATGAGCGCACTGAAATGAAGGAAAAATTCGCTGATGTAAGTATGAAATATCAAGTGAAATATAATGAATTCGCAATTGCAAAACAAGTGTAAATTTTGCAACTAAACAATACATGATATTTTGCGTATTTCTTTCAATGGGTGTGCGATATGATATGAAACACTCTTTTTTTTACTTCGCGCTGACGTACAAAAGACACACTGTGACAGACAGACAGACAACAAGAATGGTTTGTCGTGTTCGCCGATCTCTTCGTAAGCATTTTACAATTTGCCAACGAAATGATTTACGATTTTCGTGGCCCTCGTAAATTAATTCATCAATTCAATTGCGGGAATGAAAATGAAACAAAAGGAAATAAAACCAACAATAAATGTTGAGGAAATTTCAATGCCGATTCGAAGAATGCGCACAATAAATTTCGCAGCGAAGCATTGTAAAAATCGACAGCATGACATTTCCATTTGGTGGAAGAAATTTGTGTAATTCCGAAACTTCATGTAATAATTTTTGGGCGGTACACACAGACAGTCGGTTTTGATTATGCGTCTTCTTCGATGCGTTTGTAGTTGTGCGTTTGTATTTTGCTAACTCGCCGAATATGGCAGAAAAAAAAGAAAGAGCTCAATGCAATGTATAAATACACATCATCAAATGGAATCGGCCGCTGCCGCCGCTCTCTCTCTCTCACTCATCACTCGATAACAAGTGAAATCCATTGCAGCTCATCATAATCGCAATGGGGAAAAAAACAAACCGTTTGATTAGTGTAATTTATGGAAGTAATACTGCAAGCTTCAAGGCAAATGCCATGTTATTTCATTTCGATTTATGTATTCCTGCATCTGGCTAGTTGCTGGCTGGTGTGCGCTTTATGAATACACTGCACATCGAGATGTGCTCGTACAAGACCATGGCCATTTTCTTCTTTCTATTTCAATGAAAAATGCAATAAAAAAAAACATACAAATTCGTTTGCCCACACAGTTAGTGACGTGCCCTTTTTACAATTCTACGAATCCAATCGCCCGTTAGAGCTCACGAAAGATAGAGAAAATTGAAAAAAAAAAAACAACGAACGAATGAAAAAAACAGCGAAGAAATAATGAAATATACAGTTTCTCAAAATCCAGACAATATGATTCCATTATGCGCCATATCATCAACATTGTGGCTTCTTGTGCTCCATGGACGCGTTTTTTTTTCGCTGATAGCGATATATTATTATTATTTTCGAAGTATTTTCTGTGTATATTGCGTTTCGAGGCGATTACAGAACATTAACCTAATGATATCACTCAACTATCGACAGTGAAATTGCCGAAAATAGGTATTAAGTGATTTTGAGTGTGTGGAATGCGCATTTCCCCAAATCAATTTTTATTTCTCTTTCAATTATCACTTAGTATTTTGTTTCCATTTTCCGATGAAGACGCTGGAAAGCAAATGGTTCACAAGTCACGAACTGCTTTTCATGCTACATTTCCCTATCTACACCAAAAATGTAATTCCATTGTGTGCGAGCGGTTATTTCAATTGTGGTTGCTAAAAGAAAAGAAACAGAAGCACACAGATGAAAAAAATATCATATTTCATTATGATTCGACTCATATTTTACATTAGTTGTTTTCTTCAGTTCAGGTTTAGAAACGGAATAATTTCATTAGAGATTTGATTGGCTGCTGCGAGCTGTCGACGTTTTTGTTTGACGATGTGGCTGCTTTCATGATTATCATCAGTGGCGAGAACAGTTAAAACGCAATTTAAGCCATCATTCGTTGCGAAGCACAAACTAAGAACGCGTTTAAGAACATTTTTCTTTCTTTCTCTCTCTGTCTCTCTGTCTCTCTGATGTTTCTTCATCGATCCATCTCTGTCTTGTGCACGGTTTGAATTTGCATTAATCGCGATTTACCGTAAATAACACACATAAATACAGCAGATGTGTGATGCTTATGATTTATAAACCATGTTCAATTACACTCACATAATTCTGTTCCACTTGCCATTTTTTATGGTGATCCGCTACTTTTTTCCCCCTCATATATTTGACTCTGTCTTTTTCTCTGGTTTTTGTTTTGTGCGCCCGCGCTTCTTCTCTGGTAACCGCGCACGATCACACCAAACATTGGCATCGCGGCAATTGAATTCAAGATCGTGGTACAGGGAAAAGGCATTTCGCGGCCGCAATGAAGAAAGAAAAGAGAATGTACTGAGATTTTGAGATTTTTTTTTTGTATTAAGCACTGCCACAACCGCAACTCGCGCGCTCAACATTATTGAACGACCGAACGAACAAATGAAAAAAGCAAACAAGCTAAAGATTTCACATATATATATTTAAGCAGCAACAACAACGCCCATATGTATGAAACGTTAATTTCATTGTGTTGCTCACTTCATCTTCCCACACTCTGGAAATATATATATATTAGTTCATATTTCTTGTGTCTTGTTGTTGTTGCTGTTTTGGTTCTCGTTTTTTGGTATATTCAATCTCGGTGCTTGCTCATTTTTTTTTTCACTTCGTTCATTCAACAAAATTGCCGCATATTAACTGGTGTATTATTGTTTTCGGGTAAAAATACTTAGAAGATAATATGAGATGATATAAAACATAACACCATCTTCATGCAAACTAGATAGAGAGAGCTAAGCAATACTTGTTGTTTGGAGAGACGACTTCCTTTCATTCAAACACTATTCATTTGTACTTTTATCCGGCATTTTTTGTTGTTGTTGTTTTGTACATTCAATTCAAGAATGGTTTTTTAATATATACAAATGCTATATATAAATATAAATATCATTTGAAGTGTTTTGTTTGTTTTTATAAATGTTTTTGTTTTCTTTGGTGAATATTTCCTTTGCGTATATGATGAACTTCGACAATGATGACGATGATATGTTCATAATGTTTAAATATCCGTACTTCCGATTGCATCTTGTCGTTCATTGTACACCACATAATATGAACTCCGTATGGAAATGGATTGGAAGTCGTTGCATATTTATTGATAAAACGTCTTTAAAAAACAGTTCGACCGCCGTTGAACTGGTTAGTTTCTTCCATTCACGAAACCGGTATCTCGTCGAATCTGTGTGTTGTTGTTATACTTTTTGTGAAGCACACGGCATCGTCCCCCCGACGAGTAAGTCGAGTGTATTTACTGCTTATTGTGCGTGGAATGTCATCGCTATGACATCAATTAAATCAGCTTGGTCGTCTTTTTCAGCGTGTGTTGCAAAACGAGTTTTATACGTTGCTTTTATATTGAAAAGCATCGTGGTACGATGTGAGGCATCAGTTCGTTTAAGAACAATCGCGGATGACACCATTCGTAAAACTTTGTCTATTCAAAGAGACATAAGAATTCTCATCTCGCAACTATTGCCGTATATTTTCTCATTTAATTCACATTCAACGGCACATTGTTTGACATCTGCGCCTCTCGCATCACACAGAACGGTTAAACGGTTTGCAAGTCACTGCACCGAACATGTGTGGCATAACCTTCCTTTATTGCGTTGTTTGTCTTTTATCAATCGATTTTAATTCAAACATTTCAAAAACGCTTCTTTCTTTTTTCTTCAATTTCACATCATTGTCTTATAATTTTTTTTACTGTCGTCGTTTGTTTATTGTCGCCATGCCATTGCATTGTGGCAGACGATTGAATAAAATGATGATGAATGAGTTAAATTGTTTGGGGCCAATCGAAATGTCGCATCAAGTGCATTCACATTATTTGTGATGGGTTCCTTCTTCTTTTGCAATCATTTCAATTAAAATAAATCCACAAAATGATTCTGCCAGACCGTGATATCTATCTCTCCACCCACTCCATGATTTGTAACAGCACAACAGAGTCTTTGTCGAGTTTGAACTGTTTTTAATTAAATAAACGTGCCCAACACCAAGCAACGTCTTTTATTTTAAGATTTATTATTCTGACTTTTTCAACATTGATTTTGCCTTTTCATTCAACGGCAGTTATATAATAAACAACTTTGACTCAGCAATTGCTTGAAACTATGGTGAAAAAACAATTGGCAAACTAAGAATCAATGCTAAAAAGAGAGAACAAACAAAAATAACCTCAAACATTATCTGACAAACACCGGCTTTTTTCCACCTTGTTTGGTTCTACCTTCAGAATTTGCATTTGCTTCGTGATTTTTTTGCTATTTCTCTATCCTTCTCGTTTCTGCTTTGAGGACAATCGATAATGTTTGCTTTTTTTTTCTCTTTTGAAACATAAAAAAACGTGCGCTCAACACACAAAAACAACAACAAACTTATGACAAAAATCAATGTTAAACGCACCGTTTTAACGATACAGTAATTAAAATTGAATGGAACAAAAAAGCGGGCAAACAAATCTGGCAAAAAGACATGTCACTATGTCACGTTCGATTCTTTATGCGCAAGTAATTAATGTGAATGCGCATGTAAGTTGATATTTCATGAGACAAGTCATATAATAAATTCTACTATGTGACAAACACAAAAAAGCACACATATATGAAATTCATAGAAAAAAAAAATTGAGATTCCATTTGTGCAGCGGCTCAGAACAATACGTTTTAGATGCGAGGGTTCAACTTGGTATAGTCGAGTCGGTAAATCACTAGAATTAGCAACATATGGGTTTATGTGCATTTTCAGTTGATTAAAATTTATTATTGTTCTATGATGAACTTTTGCATCCAACATTCGACAATCGTTCGCATCTCACGTAATCAATCAGCGTCTTTTGTTCACATTTTTTTTATGGGGTACACCGTGGCTACTTGTTTTCTATTTAACTACTACTGCATCTATGAAATTTGATCCGCTTAAACAATAAACAATAAGCACGCACACGTTTGAAGTGTACCAAACTCCATTTAAATGTACCAAGTACACACACATAAAGTATACAAAAGTGTCCGCATTTGCGGCCACTAGAATTTCTTGTTATTCGGAGTTGGTATACACGTATTCTTTATCGCGCAAACAAAGATTGTAAACAAACAAACTAAAATACACCGA